ACACACACAAAATGCGTTTTTCTTTTGTTTATTTTTGCCTGTTTAGATTAAATATGTAAGATTAAATATGTAAGCATCTCATAAATAAACAATTTCAATTTTCACCTCCTAAACCCCCCTCTGTGTTGTGTGCGTAAAATGCAAGATCAGTAAACTAGAAATCTCATATTCAAATTCTACATTCTTTTTCTTCCTTTTTCTTTATATAATTTTTTCTAAAATAAAGTTATTAATAAAATAATAAACATATTAGGGTGAACATATTTTTATATAATTATTGAATTATACGTGCACTTTAAAAGTTTTAACCAACAAAATATAGTCAAACAAAATATAGTCAAACGTTAAAATGAATATAAATAAAATTACTGAAATGATATTAGAGGTTTGACACAATATAAATAAATATTACAAATAAATTAAATCTTCATTGTGTCTGAGTGAGTAGTGAAAAATTCAAATTAAAACTACTTCTTTGTTCAAATGCAAAAAAAATAGAATCATGAATTAAAGAATCATAAATTAATTTTTATAATTATGTTATATAAAGACAAATGATTGATTGTACCTTAATCAAATTGAATGTATAGAATATATATCAAGAACAAAATAATAGAATGTATATCAGGAACATCTATGTATACATATAAAAAATAAATTAATTATACGAAAATTTAATAATAGATTCTATAAAAAGATTGTATTCAAATAAACCAAACAGTAAAAATGCTTCGTGTCAGAGTAATTCCAAATTTAAAGCTCTTAGTGTCTTAATAATAAAATAAGTAGAAGAGAGAGAAAGAGAGAGAGAGAGAGAGAGAGAGAGAGAGAGAGAGAGAGAGAGATAATATGATTTTACAATGAAAATAAATTCACCAGATAGAATGCTTGTTTTCTTTTCAATATAATAACTCTAGCCCTGATTTTTATACTTTGTATTGCAATAAAGCGTCGTATGTCTTCCTATATATAAGTGACCCAATGCAAGAGTGATTATGTTATCCTTGTTGAATAACAAGGATATAATGATACACTGTGTCACACCATGTATTTATTCAAGATTTGGTATGAAAATCCTTTCTGGCCTTTTGTAACTGAAAGCAATAAGGAACAAGGCTAACAGGCACCACTGCGAATTGTGAAATTTTTGTACATGCACATATTTTATTGAGAATTACTTAATTTTATTATCATACATTCTATCTTACATGTTACTGTAAGCATATAATGAACTCCTGTATAGATGACCATAATGTACTCATGTTTCATAAGTAGTCGTATTATAGCTGTCCAGTCAAGGATTAACAGAAATCGCTTTTTTCATCAGAGTTTAATAGAAAATTTAATTTAAGAAAAACTTTTCAAATTTTTACAAATAGTATTTAATACATGCAAAATAGTTTTATATGCAATAGTATTTAATTGCACACAAATAACTATTTCTAATTAACTATTTCTAATTAATATTATGTGTATTAATACATGTATATATATGTATATGAAACATATATATACTTTTAATATTTAGTAAATTGTAAAATCATAACTTTAAATTATTATAACA